TTTTTTTTTTGCAGAATACCAGTTGTATTAGAAAACCTCAGGTCATCTCGGGGGGGGGGGGGGTGCACACCCCCTGCACCCTCCCCCTAGATCTGCCCCTGAATCTGCAGACTGGACAATCTTTAAAAGGTGGCTGAAGTTACGTACCATTCATTGGAGAGTTATTTGAGACGAGACTCGTTGCAGGCATAAAGGTCAAATTTGGCAAGAACAAAATATATTTTAGAAGAAACTGCATTCATTAGATTTTAAAAATGCAAGATTTTGAGCATGGCAGCATGGATGATTTTAAAGAAGCCGCAAATTTTGAATTAAGGAGGTTCATGTAAAATTCAGTCATGTGATTTCCTTGTGAATTACAGCTTACAATAAAGAACCCTCATTGTTTGTTTACATTGCTTATGAAGTCAACAAAACACTGCTCATGTGACATATCAAAGGGGACAAAAACTGAATAAATTTCTACTGCAACTTCTGGGCATTTTTCTCAGCTTGCCCTTGCCCTGTTTTCTTTAAAAGCTTATTATCCCCCCACCCACCCCCTATAACTTGACTTGTCTTATATACTCTCTCAGTTTTTTGCAAGTTGGTGACTTAACATAAGAGAGGTCCTTTTAAGGGCGGGGGTGGGAGGGTTGTATATGTATCTCTTGTCTGGATTTCAAACCTTGCGCGTCATGTAACAGAAGGAAGCCTGGAGCCTGTCAGTTTTTCACTTCGTATAAATTGCAGTTGTCTTCTTTACTGTCAGTTTTAATGTGCCTTTGAGTCATTTCTCACTATATCATCTGCTGTTTCAAGGCTATGTCACTCGTCAGATTTTACCTTAACCCTTTAAGCCCAATGTCCACATATAAATTCTCCATACTGATCTTCATACATTTCTTTAAAGAATTAGTTGAGAGAGTAAAATAACAGATCAAAGCATTTTCTCCTTGGTAAACACTTTATTAACTTTCATAACATTTCTCTTGGCAAGATATGGATATTGTTAGGAGAAAAGTTGTTGTTGGTTACTATTGGGACTTAAAGGGTTAACAAGGCCTCAACATGGCAGGAGTCCAGGACTCAAGCACCACAAATTTTAACATGCAGCTACTTACTGGGCTTCTTTTATGTTTCAGCCTTTCCAGATGAAAGTTTTTCTGCAGTCATATGTGCTCAATCGTTTCACTGGTTTGCAAATGCAACGTCAGTTTCAGAAATCTCCCGTGTTCTTCAACCGGGAGGAAAGTATGGGATGATCTGGAACCACAGGGACTTTTCCGTCCCCTGGGTGCGTGCCATGCAAGATATTATTGATCCGTTTGTCAAACAGAAGGATATGCCCGCTGATCCTAGAGAGCTTAAATGGATGGAAAGTCTAAATAATTCTGGAAAATTTACTTCAGTGGAAAGGAACACTGCATTTAGAACATATCTGGAAGGGGATATGGATTCAGTATTGTCTGTGGTTATGTGTATAAGTGCTATTAGCCAGAGCAGCAAGGAGAAGAGAGTTGAGGTTGAAGCTAAGATCAGAGACATCTTGACAAACCACCCTGACTTAAAAGGGACAAAAGTGTACAAGTTGCCTTACATCACTGATATTTGTTGGTGTACAAAGAAATAGCTACGCAATGATAAAATTTTTGTTTATATTTTTGAATGTCATGTTACAGGAGATTTTAAGTACATTAAATCATTTTTAATGATCAAATTTAACAACATTATATTGCGTACATTGTTTGAGTGTCCCTAATTTAGTTGATAGAGGGTTAAAGTGTAGCGAGATTTTGGATATGGATTTAATCCCCAAGGCCAGGCCATTATTCAGGGAGTTGACAAAAATTCAAGGAAGAAGGGAATACTGCTTTTGTTTTCAGAAAATGGTTTCACCTTCACTTGGACAGTTCTTTGTTGGTAACATGTATTTTCGAGTTTCCTTTTTTTCTGCAGTGAGAGACAAAAATGGAATAGAAATGTTGATTTCGTTTACTCCACCCCCATAACAACAAGAAAGCAATTCCTGCTAAGAATGATTTTATTTTTCTTTTTAAATGAAGAGCAAAAATACCAGTATTTATATCAAAATACAACATCTGCAAAACAGGGCAAGGCATTTTACAAAAAACACTTCATCCTGTTACCAAACAAATTCAATAAATATTTACACTATATTTTACATAGCCACAGTTTCTAAGTTACACACAATCATATAATTTTTTATTATGAAAATCTCCACATGGGAGTTAATATCATTTTTAGTTGACCAATAATTTTCTTACTTGCTGTGGTTTCCCAGCAAACTACTATCCACCATTTATATTATAAGCCCTACAGGAAGTATGGTTTTATGGAAGAGACCATGGAGTCATATGACAACATGAAGGGGAAAGTTTGTTTGCCACTGTCATTAACACTGTCTTATACAGGTTGATACAAGGTCTTATACAAGGCTGTACATGTGTATGCTATCTCAGTCATATTGCATGAAAACTATCTGCTAGCCATTGTTGGTGAGGATGATGCAATTCATTGAGCTGATCAGACTGTCTGCCTTTGCTTGCAGTGGAAGCTCCCGTAGCTCTCCAGTCTGAGCTCTCTCTACACTTAATAAGTGCATTAAAGAGGAACTCACAACTCCAGCTTCAACCAAAAGAACCTACCATTCAGACCTTTTGACTTGCAACTATGCTTTTACAGTCCACGTCAAAATTTCTGAGTGGCTTGTTGAACAAAGAAGCTCCCCTGATGGTGAAAACCTTACATGGTTTACAACACCACAGTGTCCAAGGAAATCTTGAAAACTTCCCTCACTGTAATCCATAAGTTTCACAAGTCGCTCTAGAAGCATAACAAAACAAACAGTGTATGTTGTGTTAACTTTTAATAAAGAATGAAATTCAGTACTATAAAGAATGAAATTATTGTATGCCTGGAAAAACACGAGCAATGTTTGTGTTGCTAACAATACAGTTATGGTCAAAAGGCCTCTAGTGGTAAGTGATGATAGCACACTTTGTACTTTGCACCTTCTTTCTGTTTTACAAATCCTGTTTTTAAGTAGCTTACAACTCTTATTTCCAGTCATATCAAACATGAAAACATGACTGTCAACCACACTACTTGTCCCATACACTGTACTTCAAAGCACAGGTTGACAAGAAAGGACTAATTTTTCAAACTTAATTTTTGAATTTCTTTGAGAATTACTAATTATTTGAGAAGCTATATGAAGCATTCCATTCAGTGTTTTACCTGATATCCAGACACCTTGACGTCTTGGCTGCCTTGATGTCTGCATATTGGATGATTCAATACATCTAATACATCAATCACATTTTAAATGAGTGAGGAGGTGGTTTACCTGCTGTTGCGATAGCAATGAGATGTCCTTTGGGTGATACATCCATAGATGTTGCCCACTGTGTCAATGCAGCTGTTCGCACAACCTAACATGTGGTCAAGATAAGTCACTATTTTCGATGAAGATTGAAAGAATAGGGACCTTAAGCAATGAAAACATTGACGTCGAAGACATCAAAAATGGCAACTAGAAGTTGATATTTTCTCTCTTTCAGCGATCTGTTTTGACAAATTGATACAGTGGCAGTTAAAACAAAGGCATTTAGATTTGATGTGAGTCAGAAGTGTTCCATCAAGCGAGACATCGAACTTCCAGTTGCTATTTATGACATCTTGGACGTCAGCATTCTTCCAGCTTAAGCTCGCTTATGTTTGCAAGTGCTTTGGTTTAAAAATTTGGGGCTCTTACTATAAACGAAAGTGAAATTGCAGGTATTATTTCCAGCAGGGTACAGAGAAGAAAATTTTTTGAGGACATCATTTATTTACTCTTTATAAAACACTGATTTCCAAACAGCAAATAAGGTAGCAGCTGTGCTACTATTCTTCCACTGTATCCCGTACCACAGTCATCCAATACAATAATAAAACCCCAGCAGTAATTTCCAGAAGGTGCTCCAAGACCCTGGAAAAACGTTTTTTAAACATCCCGAAAGCAGTGCAAACCCTTGCATTGCTGCCTTGTGTGACTGGATCATGTCTTTCCAACAATGTGTCACAATGAAATTGGTTTATTGGATTGTCTGCATTAGAACTGTTTCTTAACTGCCTCACTGAAAACTGCCCCTTAAGGCTGTTGTCCTTTAATTACTTCCCTGATGAAAAGATCCATAAGTGGTGACCAGTACATAAAACAACCTTCAATAAGGTTATCTTGGAATCAGAACACTATCTATCTGAGTTGTTGTACCTTTTTTTGAGAAAGACTATAGAACTGCACCACCTTCTGCATGCCATAGCCAGTGTACACAATGATGTCAGGGTCTGCTGGAGAGAACTGGGCCAGACTGGGTGGAAGTTTACTGTACTGAGCCTGTTGAACAAGCACCACCACGGTGTTATTACACTCGGTTTTACAGTGGTTGACTTTAGTATACAGTCGAACCCCCACAAACAGCCACTTCTCTACAGTGGCCATTTTTTTGGCGAACATTCCATACATTCACCCTTGTTTCAACCTCTCTACAATGGCCACCTCTCAACAATGGCCGCTTTCTTCTGTACCAAGGTGGCCGTTGTTGTAGGGAGGTTCAACTGTAGTGTTCTGACTGGTTTAATCGGTACATATTTCCCACTAAAAGTGAATGGTGCTTTCTGTCATTCAGTCTCATACCTGAACCAAATGCCCTCATCAACAGTTGAATGTAGCCAAAAAGTAACAAGCTGCAGCCCAGGGAAGTATAAACAGTCCCCAAGGGATGTAAATTTTGGCACTGGATTTTTTTGTCTTTTAAGCATGTTTCACATACGTCATAACCAAAACCTGAAAATTGATTTTGATGGATAATGAAGTTGCATATCTTGAAAGACCGATAACATATTACTTTTTTTAGGTCAAAAAGCCTTCAGTAAGCTCATGTACCGGATCTCCTCTTCTAAGAGCTTTTCCATCAGTTCCAATAGGTGGTGCAGGGAAGGTCAGCCAGTCCACCAGCTCACAGAAGTCTTTGGACCAATCGGCACTCCAGATGCTCACACGTCGATCAGCACTTGCAGCCAGCCACAGAAGTGGAGAGGATAGAGGGTAATGTTGATCCTAGCGAAGTGCACAGCAATTCTTACTTAAGATATCTTCTAGACTGAAGCCATGTTTTAATATGTAAAAAGTGAATTCTAAGTTTTTACGTATTTATTTTGCACCACCATCAGGTATCTTAGCATGCTGGTTAGGAAATGATGTTGGTGAAATGCTTTGTCAAGCCAAATCTACATGAAGGAGTCACTTACTAAAGCTCCATCCAGTAACTTATCGTTTTCACGTCAATAAAGCCGTCACGCAGTAATATTAAGCAGTCAGTTGGCTAAGAGTGATGGCTAAACATAGGTTTAACTGTTCATTTCTTTTAATGCAGGCCATTAGACGTCTGTGTGATTATATACAAGAAATAAGTTAGCGCCAGGTACAACTGACACACTAGATTCCTTCAAAAGGTGCCCATAAAGAAGTTTTGTAATAACTGCTGAGAATTCACTCCCTGGCCACTGAGGGATCCATTGTACCAAGATATTCCCAAAATGAGCGATAATTATACCAGTAACAAAAGGCCTGTTGATTATTCCTCGTCCCTTTTGGACTTTCAAATACTCCATTCATCTTCCCAAGACTGGATGTTAAAAACTGAGAAGGATATTCACGATTACCTGCCACCTTCAAGCAATCCGACACAGCTACAGCTACTTACCTTGATTGAAGAGACATGAAGACATGTGATTGGAGCGCCCCTGTGGTCATTCATTAGCCTGATTGTAAGACCTGTTGAAGGGCTGCTTATAGCTAGCAAACCATCTTCTGCTCCACTAATTATAACTCTTCCTACATGTTAATACAAAGAGAACAAAAAATATTTCCATAAAAGTTCATCTATGGAGTAAAAGGGCTTCAGCAAGTAAATTAGATATCAGTGAGCAAGGTTAATTCTACCACCGCTATAATTATTTCTGTTTCTACTCTTAACTCTTCTACATCTTTCTTAGGTAAAACTTGTTTTTGTTGATGACACAAAAACTTTGGGTTACGTCCTTACCATCAGCGGAGAATGAAATTGTAGTGATGGAAGCACCATGAGGCTGCATCTTCATGATCATCTCCACTTTTCCCAAATCAAATATTCGTATGGTGCCATCACTGTAGCCAGCCACACAGTGTGAAGGTTGAATGGCAGTCTCAGCAGGTGAGGGCTGTGGGTGGACAGTGGCTACTGTCTGTCCCTCATTTGTGATTGACTTGGTGGGAGTGGCTGCGGGAACTGGGCAAAAAGACACACAGTTACAGGTCTGAAAGAAAGCAAACATAGTTGGTTAATAAGCCCTTAAATTCAGTAAATTTAATACTTGAAGACAAATTATACCATGTAAAAGTGTTACCAAAGTGATTCTATTTTGAAAGACATGATGTGAGTGAGAGGGATACGCAAGAAAAAGTTTTTTTACTTATTACCTGTTCAAGGACTTGAAATTGTAGATGCTCCAAGCTGTCTTTACTCCAGAGGTGTAAGACACCATCAGCACTAGATGTAGCAAAATATTGATCATCTGGACCACTGAACACCAGGTCACTAATCTGCATCAAACACAAGGAAAACGTGAGAGTGCAGCCATACAAAAACATCAGGCAGGGGTCTATGTTTGGATTTATTTGTGGTTCAAATTCCATTCTTCAATGACTAAACAAAAACGAGGTGTTTATAATACAAAAACGGCCATTTTTATTTCTGAACTGCCTGACACATATTCAAGTTTGATGAACTCTGAACCAATTCCATGCTTGTTAGTCTGGCCCTAGTTTTCCAAAAGGTTGATACATAAAAAAATTGTGCTATGAACTGCATGATGATTTAGCCATTGGATTGTGGTATTCATTATTTTAACGGGGACTTTTATACTACTTTATTCCCATCCAACTTGCTCTGTTTGGGTTCCTAACAAAATCCCCCGACCTGTATTTAGTACAGAGCATTTACCTGTTAAGGTCCTGTAACTCAAAACCTAACACCTTCAGTTGTACCTGCACCCAAATACCCAATGTTTTCCAATGTTAGTCTTATAGTCAATAGTAGGTAAATATGAGCATTTTGCTGGACACCTGCTTCTTTAACAGGGCATTCCTCACCTGCTTAGCATGCCCACTGACAAGTCTAATGCTGGTTCTTTCTTCCCAGTTGACATACCATAATGTACCTGATGACGTGCCAATGATACCCTGAAAAATGAGACCATTTTTAAAATTTGTTATGAAACTTTTATTTCTTTCTTAAAAACAGAAACTCAGGATGACTTACATTAGGCTAACGATATCTAACACTCACAGTTTCCAGTGCTTCATCAAAGGAAGCAGAGGTAATAGCACCATCTAGAGTCATCTCATCTTCCATAACAAGGCCATTGCTGGACAATCTAAGACCATAATATTTTCACACAAAATGACGTGATGGTAAAGAAATAGTCAATGGTGATAATTTAATTTCTATAAAATTTAATTGAAACTACTGCAGCAGTATAATTTCAGGCCTTTTAAGAGTTGTCAAGATAGAGCTGTGTTAATGGAACATGGCATATTGCTCATTTACAAAGACTTACATTACATTGCCTCAGGGCGAATTGAACGACACTTTTAGTCTGAATCGAGGGTAAAATTAGCAAAATAATTTTTAGGACAGACAGATTCAAACTTTATAGGAATGAGAAAGTATGTTCATCACAAAGGGAATGCATTCAAAGAAATTGTTTTAAGAATACCTGGTGCTCTCCCCAGGAAGCCTCATTTCACTCACACCCACCACAGACCACAGACGGAGATTTCCTGAACTGCTCCCAGCTATAAGGGTACCTCCATGCCCCATTATTAAGTCTGCAAATTAATACAGTGAGCAAAGTTAATCAAATGCACTTATACATGCTTAGAGAGAACAAATCTTTTTTCCAGACTGGAATAAGATGACCATTACTTCCTTGAAGAAGACTTTGGTGAGAGCTAATCAAATGACATGGTAGTCTCATGGCAAGATAGGCTTGCACATGATGTGCATCCCTGCTAGGATAAGCAATGCCAAAAGCATCCTTTGAGCTGGTTGACCCTCTCACTCCAAATAATGGGCAACCAAAAATGAATTCAAAAGAAAGTTGAACTTTCTTGTTGTACAAATAAGTAGTGCTATGCAGAAGTTCTGTCAAGCAGGTTTCATTTGAATGGTAGCACCATGGATTTCATCAACAGATGTAAAAGTTATAGAGAAATCGATGACATAGCGTAGGAGTGGAAGGGTTTACAGAAAACCACACAATTTCAGCTCACTTAGGACAAAGGAAGATATTTTTTCAGCAGGGCAGCAACTGTCGTTAACCACAAGTCTCCAATAAGCTCGGGTTTGAGATTGTCTTCCAGTATGTAAAGGGTTCTATTCTTGTCAGGGATATTTCCTTATCACAAGCTCAACATTAAGATCTATGATTTATCTTTAAATAACCCACTTTTTGTTCTCTATCAAAACAAATCCATGGACTACATAGCCACCACTGACATTGGGCCATAAAAAGCTCAAGGGATAAGAGGCCCCGTTTCTGTTAGAGACTGGATGTAACATTAAAGTGTCTGTTAAGTCCTTACCAATTTCTGTCGCATCTCCTTCCCAATGAATAAAGCACTTGTTTTGCCTTGTGTCCCAAGCTGAAAGCATCCCTTTATAGAGATAAAACGATATCACTTGATGCGCTTTTCACACAGATGTTTGCAGCCTAAGGTTAGTTAACAGAACTGCACTGCTATGTTGAGGCTATGTCCTGGGGATACACAGTAAGCTCCTAGGTTGGCAATCCCTACACACAAGGTTGTCATTACAATGACTATGACTGGATTGCAGAGAACTTTGATGTACACAGAATTCAATACAATAATTCAATTACAATAATTATCCATGAACAACCTCACCTGCACTAGTTCCAGCATACATAACACTGTCTCCTGCATACCATAATGAAGTAAAAGCGTGGTACTCGTCTCTCTGTAAAAGATGTTATGATTTTTCACAGAAGCATATAACCCTATGCTTCTGTTTTTCACTAGTCAGACCCAAGAATGTTTGACATTATAGTATTTATTAAAGAAATGAGGGAGAAAAGCAGATAAAACTACACAACTACAGAACACTGAAAAAACATTATTGTCCTAGAAAAGAATTTGATGGCAGAAATGGTGAAAGCAGGCTATAAATCACAATTAATACAAAGCTCCACACAAAAATGACAAAAAGGACATTAGAACCCTCTCACTGGTACCTTCTTAGACTGCATAAGTTCCTCTGGGACCTCTGGTTCATGAACCTGAAAGGTAATTAATTAGATTCATGTTATTTTAACCCTTTCACCCCTATACCAAGTTATGGCAAGATTATTTGCCAATCTGTAGATGAAATTCTATGATGCTACTAATCATATAAAAGCTCTTTGGCAGAACTTCTGCATGGGGAAAACTGGTTTCATTTGACAAAATTTTACATAAGAGAGAACCAGAGACTATTCTGGTCATGTACAGATTTTTTACCTTTAACTGTCATCTACTAATACTTTGTCCAGATTTACACTTCATTAACAACAAGAATTGTCTAAAAGCACCACCAGTACAACTTGTCTTGACACATAATTCAAAAATTATTTCTATACTTTTGGATGACCACATCACTGCCTTAAGAGCCTTTTCACTCATGTGGCCAGCAGCTTAGATGCAAATTTATACAAACAAAAGAAAGCTTTTGCATAAGAAAAAGGTTAAACTTCCACCGGATTAGTTTGGGACACCAACATGGCTGCCATTTCATTGTTTTCATACAGCAATATGGCAGGCATGATGTCATGAAAAAGCATCAATTTTTAGATCTATTGTATTCCTTCAACATACATGATCACACTTTAAGTCAAGACTTTATGGAGCTCTTAATTAGCAGGGAAGATGGCAATGACAGTGAAACATTACAATTAAAATCAATTCAATATTTTTTCTAATTTTTTCACAATTATTATTCCAGTGCACTTACAGGTTGTACAAAGTAGGTGAGACTTCCTGGGGGTTAATTCTTGGGGACCACACCCAAGTTTAAATAGAGAAAAAAATTGGTTTTGACGTGTTTATGTCCTCCTTAAAACGTTGTGCCATGATATTTCCTTCTAAGTCATGCAGTAAAGACAAAGAAATGAGCCAATCAAGTGTGATGCATGTGCAGAGTTATTGTTTACTCAATAATCCTGTTGCTTTACTGATGTCGACAGTGCTTTTGCCATCATCATTGCTACCACTCAATCTCCCTATCGTTATGTATGCTACACACTACAATGGCAGAACCTTACATTAAGAGTCAGTTTTTCACCAGTTTCATCTAGTAGCCAGAACAACACAGAACCATCTTGTCCCACTGAAGCAAACTCATTTGCAGTATAAGGATCCCACATGACATCATGCACAGGATGTCTTGCATATGAAGCAGTTAGAACAACAAGATCTCTGGTGCACCACACAACCACTGAACATTCCCTGTAATCACCCACAGAAACCAGGAATCTGTCATCACGGGCATATGCAAGGCAGACAACCTCATGCTCATGGTGGGAAAGATCCTGAAGAAAAACAACAACAAAATAAAATCTTTTATTTAACACTTTAAATTCCAAAGATGCTCAGGCTTGGATAAAGCCTAAACCTTATTCCGCAAAACTTGAATAAGATTTGTGCCAGAGATGTACATCTTTAATTTTAATAGCCACAACACCGAATCTAAACTAGGGGGAGGGGGAGGGGAGGGCACTTCCACACCAAAATCCTCAACTAGAAACCTAAGGGGCACCCCCATGACAAAAGTGCATTCCGGTCTTGTGTGTTTTCATCTGAAATTGCTGGTGGAAATGCAAGATCTGCTAACCTTAGAAGAGAGAAATAAAGCAACAACTTAAGGGTTGTCCACTTGCCTTTCATCTAGGATGTTAATATTATTTACCTTCTTGCACACCCCTTCTTGTATGTTCCACAAACAGATCTGACTGGAATTAATGTCACTGGGTCCTGAAGCTGAGGCCAGAAACAGGCCATCATGCTGTAAAGCTAGGGTAGAAATCTCTTCTGCATGCCCCATAAGGTGACGTTGAGTGCCAGAATGAAGGTCCTCTATTACTACAAGGCAGCCACTAGTATATGCAAACAGTCCTTAAAACAAACAAAAAACAGCATGGATAAATTGACAGGAAACCTGGCTGGCCACAAACATAACCAACTGACTCCCATGATTTTCCTTTAGTGCCACTTTGTTGCGTTGCTTTTGTCTAGACAAATGCAACAAATGTTTGGCTTCTAGGTTTGGGTGGTGCACACATAAGTACATAAGTGTACATAAGTTTAAATATTTTCCTGTTGTTATTTTTTTTCTCCCTATTCTTTTGATACTTTTTCCAATCTTCAAAGCCAGGTTATTACTATAAACAATGGATCGGACTGACACTTATTTTTTCCTTAAATTAAACTTGAGCTGTGGTAGCCTGCAAAAACAGCCGTTTCTCCTTGCTCTTGGCCTCTGTGGATGTATCGTGAGGAGGAATGTCTGCAACTCAGCGACGGAAATTCCATACTCATGACGTAAATCAATGTTTACATAATAGTTCCAGTAGTCATGGGATGCCAAATGCAAATTTGTTCAATTTTACGTTTCTCCTGGCCAATTTTGGTTAAGTGTTGTGTTCATCTGCGAACGAGCTCCAGCAAAACTCAAATGCCATTTCTATAGAAGAGTATATTCCACAAATATTGAATGTTTTGTTATTGATTCATCATGTTTGCATTTGACGTTTGTAGCCTTTTGTCTGTCATTCAAAAACAAGAACTAAAACAATGTAAGTACTACGTCGTCTAATCAGCGCTTATGACCGGGTTTCAGACAGAGTATCACTTCAGGAAAGTTATTCTAAGGGGAGGGCATCTAAAGCCAAAGCTTCTCAAGAAGATCCAGATTACTCAAGCTATCCATGGTATTAACCTGTGAGTTGTGAGCAACCTCTACCTTCTGATTGCAGTTGAAGGCTATGTTTACTTACACCACTACAGAAGCTGTAAGTACCTGTATCATATTTCCAAATCATGTTCTTCCTTCCATTTCCATTGTACCCAAGAACAGATTTTAGCTGGAGGCCTGCTTGGTTAGGTGGAGCGGTGTACCTGCGTTCAGCCAAGGAGGACATGTTATCATGCCTCTTGAAATGCTTGGTGACTGTAGGGGGATGATGAATTTCCCCATTTGGGATTCTAGATTCAGAAGCTGCAGGGATATTGAAGTTGAGTCTCCTTGCAGGTGATTTAGTCTTGATGGGTGATTTCTGAACAAAACAATAAACAGCATACATTAACTGACACTAAAGAAAGAAATAACCCTGAAAGAAAGAAATAGTCCTGAATAAGACTGTTGTTGTTGACAATGACTGACCTTTCGACAACCTGTGTGGTAGTCTTCTTCACTTTGACTCTGAAGAACACTACCGCACAGATTGTCAAAACGTCAGTCACTGCCAACAACAACAGTCCTATTCAGGACTACATTCACCTGGACAATCATACTCAACCTACTTATAAAACGACTACTGTTATCATTAGCATCCTCTTTGTGTTTTAAACAATACCTTCACAATGTTACTTACATGTTTGCTTTGGCCCTCTGGAATCTGCTCCTGCAGGATTTTCTTTGGAGAATAATATTCATGTCTTTCAGTATGAGGCACTCCATCGTGTCTGGTATTGGGCACTTCTTCATTGTCCAGACCATTAGCAGGAATTGGACTTACATCAAACTGAGGAGGTTCATATGTTGCAGGTACAGGAACATATTTTCTGGGAGTGACTGTGTGTGGCTGAGCACGCATAGGACTGTATGGTCTTTCAGGAGTAATTCTCACACTTTTATCTGCATTTAAAACGGAAAAAAAAAATTGATAAACAAAGTTAATAGATAAATACCAACTTAATTGAACTTTCCTCTAATGGAGGTATAACCCACCGCCCGGTTAGCTCAATTGGATGAGCACTGGTCTGCTGGGTGGGAGGCTGCTGGTTCAAGTCCCAGCCGGACCAATACTCAGGGTCTTTAACTAACTGAGGAGAAAGTGCTGCCTTTGTAAAGACATCTGCAAACGGTTAGACTTTCTCGTCTTCTTGGATAAGGACGATAAACTGTAGACCCCATCTCACAACCCTTGCATATATAAATTCTGTGGGACGTTAAAGAACCCATACACTGTTCGTAAAGAGTAGGGGACGTAGTCCCCGGTGTGGTGGTCTATCTCTCATGGGGGGAGGGACTGTTATGGGCCCACAGTAATGCACAGTAATGCTGTTGCGGTGACCCTGTCAATAATTGGCGAATCTAATAAAATAAAATAATGTCTGATGTACAATACTGTATACCTGGTGCATCAGGAATATAGCTCTTCTGTGGTTCACGCCCCCTGAATATTGTAAAACAAAAAACAAAAAAAAATTATTGTTCAATTTGCAATCAGAATAAAAGCCCGCATTTACTCAGTAATAAGTACTTAAATTATGTCATCTTTAGGGATGCATGCTCAAATGGTACCCAGGCATCATTTGGGGCTAGTAACTTTAATTTTCCTCCAAAGAGGATCAAGGTGCCTTTTAGAAATGTATACTTTCCGATTATTATTTTCCAAGATGTCAGTGATAAAATTACTATGATTGACATTTTAATAGGCCCAATTACAAGGGTAAATTTTACACACCAGCCTGTGAAGGGAGAATTACCTAGGAAATAAAACATTTCCCTCAGTAACCAAATCACTTTCAATATGTAAATACGACCAAAGAGCTTTCTCTTTAGGACACGACTTTTATAATCCAATAAATTATTATTGACATACCCATTTATGTGAAGATGTTTTCCTCTTCCATGAAAATCCCACAAAAGGATGGCCTCTCCTACACTGACAAGACCAAGATAATCAGGGGTGAATGCAACCTGCTGTATATGGTCTGAATGTCCTATAAAAACCTATATTATGAAAGAGAAAGTGCAGGATAGCTTTGAGTACAGAGACATTGATTAGATACTAATGACATGGTCAGTTGTAAAATTCCCCATATTCCACAGCTTCAGTTTCTACAGTATAAAGTAACTTCAAGGTAAATGTTGCAGCCTTGTTTTGTTTTTTATATGTGAAACAAACTCAGGGAAAGGCACCCACTCTTGCTAGATTTGTGATAATATTTTACTGTAAAATCTAAAAGCTGCCCACCAGCAGCCTTGGGTTTCCATAACCTGTAAACAACTGAGTTTGAATCCAATCACATTTCTCTTTTTTTTTCTTATTCCAGTACCTGAAAGTTGATATCCAGCCTCATGTGGTAGTCCCAAATCTTGATAACTCTATCTCCTGCAGTGGCTAAATGTTTGCCATCACGGCTGACATCTAAACTAGAACAACCACCACGATGGATGTTGGAGATCTAAGACAGGAGAAGTATATCATTTAGCAGTAGAAAATTGTGATTCCCAAAATTAACTGTTTGCCAGTAGGAAATTCCAAAAATGAGCATTGGAGTGTAATGCTAAGCGAATCAAGAAGCTCACATGGCTGGAACTTAATAAAGGTTCTGTTGCATGAAGCACCCAAGAGTGCTGCTACTCCCTAATGGAAGAAATGCAGCCTTATGATGCTGCTGCCCATTTATACACCCAAGTGAAGAGTGACAAAGTGGAGCAATGTCTTTTGGCTGAGAAATGGAATGGCTTGAATCTGGACCCATAGAACTCAACTATGACAATCACATGTTTTAAACTGATTGGCCACCACATCTTGAGATCTGTATGATACTGACATGTGCCCAAAAATAACAGGGTTGTCACTAAGATTTCAAGTTGCCAGGTAAATACAACAAGTAGGCAGGGAATCAAACGGCTAGGGATTTCTTTTCGTTCTATGTTCCAATAAAAGTAGCCAGGGGCCACTCTCTTAGTAGCCGGGGAAAATCCCCGGCCCCCAGCTCTTAATGACAACCCTGAATAATGTAATAAAATTATTATGACAGGGTTAGGTGACTTCGTTCACGCTGATAAAAAATAACGCCTTAAGAACCAAGTCCCAGCATGCAATGCAGGTTTAATTTGTTGTTGTTGGCTCTCATCCTTGAATTAAGAGGTTTAATTTTTCGCTGGGAACTCTGATTTTCTTCTGTCATTAAAGACTATCAACAGTTTCCCCTGGTCAGAATTCATGAACACTTTGAAACAAATTCTTCAGAGCTCCAAAGTGTTCTATGGAAAACAAATTACATTCTATGATAAACAAAGGAAGACCCAAAGTATGGTCGTTCCAGTTTGAACAAAAACCCAGTCTTAGATTAACTGTAAGTACAGGTAAAGCCAAAATACCTGAACATGAAACAAAAATGTAAAATAAATGTAATGGCAGTTTATCAGTGATTATTATAAATTACAAACCTCACTTAAGAGGACTCCATTATGGGAATCGAGTTTTAGCAGCCTTATTGTTGAAGTGACAACCAACAGTTGTTTGACGGATGATGGGGCAAAACAAACATGAAAGGCTGAGTCTACAATGGATCTATCTGCAGTGATTGTGCTGATATCCACTCGTAAAACCTCAAAACAGATATGAAAAACACTGTTAGCACTTTAACATTTACACACATTGCCCTCTGTCACATTTCCTGTTATTAAATGTTAATGCCTTTGATAAACACTGACAATCTCATTTCAGTCTGTTAAGTGATGAAAGCATTTAATTGACTTGTTCATCATGCTACAAATTAGTCAAGCCCAACTTTCACCCAATGGTAGCATTTGTTAAACATGTACTTGATTAAAAGTCAAAGTATTTGGCACAAAAGTAGTAATGGCTGGACACCATTTTTACTTTTTACACCATCCCCTGGAGATAACACTGCCCTTTCTACAGGGTCACCCCAGTCATGTGAGAAAAGCCATTCGCAAAGCCACCATCTTCATTTCTCAGTTTATTGGACCCTTAGTATTGGTCCTCTCAAAGGGACAGAACCCACAACCTCTTATCTGAAGTCCACTGCTATACTGACTGAACTTTCCCTGCCGAGGCTGAATTTTAGAACTTAATTTCAGACAGTTTGATGCTTCTTACTGCAACTTCTGCCTAAGAAACCTGAGAAGAATGATCACACTTTTCTCAGACTGTTTAAAATAAGACTAGACAATCATTTGCAAGTGAATCACAGTTGTCACTAAGGACCATGGGCCAGGGATTTCCCTCGGCTACTATGAGCTTGACCCCTGGCTACTTTTAAAGGGGAAAAAAGGAACGTTAATATAACCCAAAGAACATGCTCGCTGCTCAATTCCCTGTCTACTTATTACATATACCTGGAGCCCTAAAATCTTACTGACATCACTATGAGTACAGTTAACTCTCTTAAAAATGGACATAGTTGGGACAAGGAGTGTCCATCATAATAAGATCAACCTTATAGTCACACAAAAGGATAAACAAAGACGAGCACTAGAAGTCCCAATTTAAGGGAGGAGCCCATTAAGAGAGTTGACTTTGTGGTACATGTAAGAGTGAGAGGGCTGGTTTTTATTACTGTTCACAACAAATCACAGGAACAAAAAGATAACCTCACTTAAAACTTACTTCATCCAAAGATCTAGCATTGGCAACAGTCACTGTGTATTCAGATGGTCCAATAAATGCCAACCTCAGGCTGTCTTCACTCACACTCAGTACATGTGGTCCAAACTTACCCCCCATTACTACTGTATTGGGCAGTACACGGATCAGCTGGAACCCCTCATCAGTTGCATCATACAGGGCAAGAGAACCTACCAAGTAAGACAGAAGACACAGCTTCAGTAAAAATAATTTCTTTGAAAACTTTTAAGCTTTTACGGCAGACCAGAAGTGAAGTAAAGTTACAAAATGCAATTTAGGAGGGAGGTAAGGGGCATAAGAGCAAAACCCAGTACCATAAAAGACTAGAATGTTAGAATATGCTTTTGATGTTAAGAAAAATAGTATTTATTGTTATGCACTTTTGTCATGCATTTCATCAGACTCAAACAGAAAAGAACCTTCAGCTGATAAAAGATGAAAATATACTAGTTTTGAAAATCCTTCAGGAACATGACTATGTGACATGAATAATGTGTGCACAGCAAGGATTTGCACAAACAATAATGGCAAACATCAGTGAATTTAAGAGACACAAGCTTGTTAATGAATTAATATCATTTAAGTTGAACCTGGTTTTGAGATGCTAATTTTCAAGGATCCTTACACAATTCTTCAAAAGAAAGGAAAACTGGAAAAAGTTTTGGATTCCTGAGGTTCATTTTCAAAGGGAGCAATATGAAGAAGACAATAGTCATGAATGAGCTAGGATTCTGTCATTTAAACTTTCATATCAATTTACCATTCATTACCTAGTGCACCTGCACTATGCATGAACTCTCCATTTGGCGAGAACACCAAACCAGTTACTTGACCAGCATGTTGACTATGTTCAGCCAAGAGATTTGTTGTTCCAACATCAAACACCCTGACACAGCCAGACATGAAGCCGCAAGCAAAGCACTGCAGTCGGGGGTGATAAGCAATGGCACAGGGAACTTCTCCTGGGGCTTGAAAATCAAACAGCTGTGCAAGGGTATCAAGATCCCAAACTCGAATGGACTGATCTGCAGACACTGTGGCCAGATAACGACGCGTTGAATCAAAGGACATGGCTAGGATCTGCTTAGTGTGTGATCTCATTAGAGTGGTGTAGGATCGAGCTGAAGCTTGTAAGACACCAAGATTACCCTTTGAAAAAATGAACAGCGAAATTAAAGAAGCTGATATGGAATCGTTCCAAAATGTAGAAGAATATTAGTATTGTTATTACAGCAAAAACAAATTCAACAGGAACAAGCTTGATTTATGACTCAGGAGCCTTGCATAAATGTTATGATGCTTACTTACAGTTTTTGTCCCTGCTAAAACAAACAATCCATCACTGGATATATTCACAGCTGTCAGTGGCCCCTCATGTTCTGACAAAAAGATAAAATTGAACAATCTTTCAGTTTGTCAGCTCTGAGAATGTATGTTTACAGCCATTTAAAAGAACAAGGAATCAGTTGTTATTTAAGGATAATCATGGCTTTTTCTTTAGTTATTTAAAATTTTCATTGCTGTTAATTAACAAGATAAGGACAAGCTTGTGCAGTCACAATGGCCAAGACAATGATCATCACTTTAAGGAAGCTACTGAATGGTTAGGCCTTATGAAGTACCTAGCTATAGAGCTTTTCACAAATTACTCTAAAAACTATGACCATTTTATCTATTCTTTGAGCATTTTTGCCAAGATTCAAAACTTAAGGTTGTTTAGAGTGCTGCATTTCAAGTCACTTGCGCCACAAAACAAATTGCTTTAGATTTTGTTACAGGTCAAATTTGATCTCAGATTAAATTATTTTGATTTAACTTAGGTTGATTCTAAATTTTCTTTGTCTTCTAGCCCTAGCAGACAAAGGAATTCAACCTTGGTTAAAAAATTTTAACCTGAGAACAAATTTGACCTGTAACACATACATTGTAGCTGACAGTCCTCGTGGTATAATCTTATAAAACTGGAAGTACAGTCATGTAGTTGCAGGTTTGTCAATGAAAAGATTACCATTTCATAGAAAGCAAAACATCATGAAAAGATATCCCTATCATAATGACATCATGTTTTCAATTTACCATAAAAACTCTGACCTGACATTTTTGTTTCAGTCAACCGATCATGGGTAAAAACTCAACAAAGAAACAATCTTTAAGTAGAACTAATTATGATAATTTAGTAATAAGATTAAAAGACAAAAATTTGATACATTTATATTATTACCAGCTTCAAGGAAGACAGTAGAGAAGTCCAAAGGCCATAATCGAAGTATACCATCATCAGATCCAGTGGCACAGAATGACTCATTCACACAGAGTGAGTTAATTCCAAGCCCAAACTCAGTTGGAGTGGTGCCACCATATTTACCCACAGGATTGTGATATGAACCCACAGGGAGAAGTCTGATAACTTTGTCCAGCATGATCTTCTGATAGTCAATCTGATACACTGTTCCATGGCTTGTGCAAGAATATCTGCAGAACAATCAATAAAAAGTAAACAGGAAGATTGTTGATCAGAGTCCTCCAGAACTACAGCTGTGTACATATCGTAGCGAAATTTGTCTTTGGATGGCCCTCATTTGCATGCAATTTATACTTGGCTACAGTGGTACTTTGATGAAATGAGGGGCAAGGGAACGGCAAAACATGTTTGCTATAACAAGGTTCCATTATATCAAGGTTCTTTTCCGTATATTTTATTACTACTGAGGTGAAGAATATTGTTTGTTTCATTTCAAACTCAGCACATAACTGCCATTAACCAACAGTGCTCAAATGAATCCAATAATTTTATGTTCAGACTCTGGTTGCATCCCTTTCCATGGGTATCTAAAGCTGGGGTGCCCCTCACTCCCCAAAAAAGCTTGTTTAATGGTATACTGACCCCACACCAAAGCCACTGATGGAACTGCAAAACAATGAACAACAAAAAAAATCATAATAATAACACTCACACTTTCCTAACTGTAGGATCTGCACTTAAAGGATCTTTAGCTCCATAGACAATGTCATTAAAATCAACAGAACCATGACGACCAAGGTCAACAGGACATGATCTTAAAGAACCATGACGAATTCGCCAGAACCGGATGTTGTCATTGCCGCAGGAAACCAGCCTGTCAATGAAATGTTTAAAATATAAAGGTATTTAACAAAAAATGTGCAACAACTGAATAGGTATAGAAGCACCAGGTTAAAGAATAAATTGCTAAATGCAGATTTTTAGTCTTAACACATGTTACTTTTAACTTGTTTGTAAAAGTTAAATCTAACAAACCAAGCAACAACAATGACAGGCAGACAGGACCTCCTGAAAGCCCTGTTTGGTGAACAGAATGGTGTGATGCATAGGATAATAAGATAATTGATATGGTGTGTCTTAAGTGTCATAAATGTCTTTGAAAGAGGTTTCTGGTTTATAACCCTTCTTCAGTGCAAAGTAAAACTTTGAACTATGCAAATACGATTAAGACATTAAATGAAAGCACATACGCTTGTAAATAGTAGTGTGTGGGCTCATACGTGCATGTTGCAGTTTAAAGGAAGCTCATGAAATTAATACTCAGTCCTTTTAGCTGAACAGACCTAGGTTCACAATTATCTTCCTTGCAAGGTGCTTTCACTAGATATTTGTTTCATTACATAAAGCCATACCCAGCACCGGGACATCAGAAATACTATGACCCATGGAGTTGAAATCTTGGGCCACAGGCAACCCAGGAGTGTCACAGTATTTCTAATACACTCCTGAGTATCCTGTGAATAAAACCTGGCTTTTGTCAAATGGTATTACAAAATTAATAGTGGTAGCAATAATAACATTATCACTATACATTTATTGTCAATAATGATTATTATCATAATTATTATTAAATAATAATATAAAATGGAAAATGAAGCATTATATCCTTTCATTTTTTATTAACTGGTACGAAGTTGAAGAAGGACTTCTGAATGACATCAATTGAAATAAAATATATATTCCTTTATATTAAAAATGATCTAAATGGAATCACATGTCAAGAGTATAGTATGGACCCGTTACTCTGGTGGGATACCTATTCATGAGATTCTAATTCAAAAGAGTGGAGAAACGTCCCTACTATACTACTCATGTCATCACTAAAAGATAGTGTAATACTGAGGTAAACAAAAAGATAATTATTTTCAATTATTAATTTGCAGTACCTGCTGTCATCAAACTCTGCTATCCTCATGCGGCAAATGTCAACATCAGTGTGAGCCTTGGCAATGATAGACATCTCACCACCTCTGACAGCATGGCTTACATCCCACACCACAACCATCTGAAACAGTGATAACATTATAACAAATTCAAAGAATGATGTAGTTAAAGTGAAGGTTAACAATTGCATCACACTGTACAGTGTATGGAAGATGGGTGCCTGGTCTGTCTGGGGCCTCCACTGTGACCAGCTGGGTCTAGACAGAAAACTGCTCCCATGGCTGGCCATCCTTGCAACTCAGCCATGAGCTCTACGCCGCATGGAGTTGTCCAGGCAATCATCACATACACTTTGTTTACACTGGGAGATAAGGGAATAAGATGTGAGGGATACAAAGAAACCAAAGGATGCTCTCCACAGAAAAAAGTTGCCATGCATCAACACGCTGAAATGTGCTTTGAGGTTTGACCAAGAATCCTCAGAACATGCACTGAAATCTGAAAGGGGTGAATATGAGAATGGCAAGTAACATTCCATTTGATTCAAACTTCCTTCAAATAGAAAGAAAGGACTTCCAACGGTGAAACTCCTTGATCCCTCAGGTACCCCATTGACACAGAACGCAGATAGTAGGCTGATTTAGTAACAGAACGGGAACGTCATTTGACGACGGGAAAGCGTGCGGTAAGGACTAAACTTGACTTCCTGTGCCCAATTTGCCACTGTGCCATTGGTCAACCCAGTTGTTTGATTTGTGCACGCTGTTGGCAACTGACGTTCCCATTCTATTGCTAAATCAGCCTAATATTCAAGAGATACATCTTCACCTGTTTGCCATGACCATCTTTTCCAACTCCGCACAGAATGTTTCCACTGTACGATAAACTAAAATATTTGAGAAATAAATAAGGTTGCACTAAATAAAAATGTCATTACTGCAAGGCTGTCACTATAAGGACCGGGGGCAGGGATTTCCCTTGGTTTCTATGAGTATGAACCTTGGCTACTTTCATGCATAGGAAACAAAAGGAAAAAAGAACTAAAAAAGGAAAAAGACTCCCTAGATGTTCAATTCCCCATCTACTAATATTACATGTACCCCTGAAATCTTCATGACAGCCCTGTAACTGTCAGTGATAGTACCACTGTAAAGCTCAGAAAACCGTGAACACCAGAAAATTATTTCTGGAATGTTACGGTGTTTTAAGGAAAAAGTACGGCTGGCATGAGAAAACCCAACCAACTGCGTCCAACAACAGTAGTTTGTGGTTTTGTGCCTTGCTCGCATGTCCTGATCTTCATTGAGACTGCTCATAACACAATAAACATTCCTGGCATATTTCAAATGTTCGCTTCACAGTTTTGTGAGTTTTGTGACAGTTAAACCCCTGCTTGCATTTCTGCACCACTCAGCACTAAGCCCTTTGTCAATAAACATATCCAACAAGTTAGTAAATTAAGGTGAAGAAGTCTCCAGGTCCCTGGAAGAGCATGGATAAGTTCTGAAATTTGCCCTGATAAAATTATGCAACTTAATATTGCTTTGAGAAGAGTTGAACAAAAGAAAAAGTCTTAATTTAGAGGTGTAGAACACCTCTATTTCAAAGGCGGAGGGGGTATTGTCAGTATTTTTTCAAGGGTTGTCACTTTAACAGCCATTTCAACAGGATCTTCAACCCTAAAAAACTTTCAAAAAGCTGGCTTTTACCTTATACAGTGAACATTATGAACCTCTGCTCTAAACATGGCAGTGCATTTTCGTGACTGGTATTTCCACATCCTTATAACTGATGGTGAACCAGTTTGAGCAGAAGCTAAAATGTCTGTTTTTCCATCAAATGCAAGTGCAGAAACCTAAAGATATGACAAAATTCACACGCACTCACACACTTTATTAAGCAACAAATGTAAAACATCATATTTGTATAACAAACCCCACCTGAAAAAGATAAATAAAGTGTCTCTGACTTAATATCATAGAACAAGGAAAAACAAAATGAATAATGAAATTTGCATGGACCAAGGTAATCTTTAAAAGAGTCATTTCCTATCAAATATACCATGACTCGTAGTAGGGACAAACACTTCCCAGAATCCAAAACACACCCCAGAATCCACAAACATTTAACCCAAAAACATGTCCAGACTCCAAAACACATGTCACGCCTGCAGGGAGAGGTTTTGTTCTGCAGATTGAAAGTGGTTTTATAAATTGTTGATACCAATATTACTTCCTTGTTTCCCTGTTTGACATTTGCCTTTGTTCAATTCAAGGGCTATCAAGCCTTACTCACAGGCAACTTTCATTTTTTTTTCTTCTGGAATTGGTATCTACTACACAGGACTTTAAAATACCTTATCTGTATGGCCCATAAAGAACTGTTGGTGACCTGATGTAACATCTGTTGACACAATGATGGCATGGCATGGGTACACAATACATGATCCATTCTTGGTCCACAGTGCCTTTAAGCAAAAAGATTGACACTCGTTTAATAAAAAAATAACATTTCATGTTGTTGTGTTGTTGAAAATTACTACCATGTATTCCCTTCACTTACTTGCTTTAAATATGGGGTATCATCTCCATATCAGGAAAGTGAAACTATTGTATTGTGCTTTGTTAATTTGGATACTGGTCTATAATTTGGGATAATAATAATTTAATAGTAATTTGTCATTTTGAAAAACTACATAAACCAACTGACTGTTAAACAGTTTCTTAACGGAGAAATGGGACTAGAGAAAACTGAAAAGCTCTTTACACTGTTAGGCAAACAATAATAGAGCCAAAATCATTCAGAAGCTCAGTCAAGTTGTCTAAATTAAATCAGTTCAAAAATGAAAGTACAGATTTGTCCCTAGCCTGATCCCTTTTTTCTGCAAAAATTGTTTACAATGCTCAGTTTTTGATTAGCTCACTTTTTACCTCTGCCACTTTTTATTGCCTGTTAAAAGCGGGATTAAAAACCACAGACTGCCACTGGAGAAAATGAAACGAAAGCGCAAAATCAAGCTTACCTCACGAAAAGTACCACCTCCAAAGCCTACCACTCTTTTGAGTGACAAAATGGGATCTGGTTTGAGAGTCTACAAAAAAGGCAAGAAAAGTTGATTCCATTCGATATTTTGGGAATCTGCAGTTCTCCAGAAAGGAGGGTAATTAAATAATAAAAGTGCATTTAGTTAATTATGCTGTATTAGCAATAAATGTTCAATTACACAAAAATGAAACCACTTTTACCGTAAAGTTTCCTGCCTTAGTCGCCTTGGGTATTTCGGCTCTCTGAAACTAAGAAGTTAAAAAATAAAAAACTGCTGTGTAATATGGGCCAGTGAACAAGTACACACTGTGAGGGAGGAAGGAAGGTAATTAGAAAGGAAACCTGCATAAGTAAGTGGTAGGTATGTACTTTTGAGGTAAGTGGGTATAATTATTGGTGAGTAGGTAGGTTGCTTGGTAGGTAAATCAGGGTTCTTCAGCAAATTGAATATAAAAGGAGAAAACCATTACATGTGTAAGTAGGCAACAACTGATTAGATTTAAAAGCATGGCTTTTACACAGCACAGCCGGGCAGGTTTGTGTAGGGGTCGGTATGGGAGGGAGACAGCCCTGCTTTCATTGGTGGGGCCCAGAAAAAATTTTGAGACTCATGAAAATTGCATTTCAGTGTTATTGTATTTTGAGCAGCCTGGAAACATATTTTAGCCATTAGGATAGCACCTTCATTTACTCACAAATGCATCACATGTTTTTTTTTGTGAAAACAAAAGTCTAAAGGCTGATTTAGATGGTACGAGTTTTACTTACGACTATCATGCGCAAATAGTATACGTCATGACTTCACCTCAGATCATGTTGTGTGAATTAGACCGACGACATCCGTACGACACATGTGGATATCGTAAGTGAAAATTGTGTGCATGTGGAAGGTCGATAGTTGTGACGTATGCTAAATGTACAGTATAGTGGTGAGAAAAATTCGTACCGTCTAAATTGGCCATCAAGGAACCAATTAAAATACAATAATTTATTATCTATGCTGGAGCAGTTGCAACCTACGTAGGTACTAAGTTGGAATGTAGGCAGGTGGGTCAAAACTAACTGTTAAAAGGTAAGCAGATAGGTGGGTCATTGGGTGGGCAGGTAAAAAAGTATGCAGGTAGATTAGTAGGTACACAAGGGAGTGGGCACTTACCATTTACATAGAAAAACTGAAAAAAGCAGTTGGAAAATCAAATAGTTCGGGCCATTCTGTATGGGAAGCTTCAGAAAATAAGGGCCGTGGTTTGTGAGGTGATGCAATTTTTCTATTCTTTTTGGTCTGTTAAGCTGATTTTGATATACTGTGTAGCCTGTTGATCTCCCACCACATCAAATTTCATAGACTTTACGATAATGCTCAAGGTTTCCACCCAGTTGGTTTGTGTAAATGGTAAACACCCCTGTCCCCATGTAGGTAAGCATGTAAGCAGGTCAGGGGGTGGATGAACAGGTTGGCAGACACGTAGGTAGGCAGTGGCGAATCCAGACCTTCAGATGGGGGGGGGCTCAAAAAATTTTTTTTCAGCCCTGCGGGCCTCATTTGGGTCTAAAATAAGGGCGGGGAGTGGGCCCCCCAGGCCCCTCCTCTAGATCCGCCACTGGTAGGTACTAACTTCTGCCTTTTCTCCTGAAAGAAAAACTATCCCCAAAAGTTAGGTAAGTTTGATTTCATAGGCCAGTCAAGTGTGCGGGTGGGTAGGTAGGTAGGTCAGTAGGTATGAAGTAGGTTAGTACAAGCAGGGGGTAGGCAGCAGGCCAGTGAGTTGGGGGAGGGACAGGTAGGTAAGTGAAAAGGCAGCAAATGGGTGGTAGGTAATGTAGGGAGACAGCTAGTACTACCCTGAACTTGAATGGACTGTGCGCAGCTATTACATGCAGTTGCTAAACCATTTATTTTGATTGCAACATGGAAGCAATAGCACCATAAGTATAAAAGAAAAAGATTGGGCTCAAAATAAATCATACCTTTTCTCTCTCTTTAGGATGCTGAAGATTATTGACAACTTTGCTTGGATGGGCATAAACATGCACTTCACCATTGCTCTCATCTACCAAATCTGCTCCCTGCACTCCAACAGCTGGAAGGGCAGTAGGAATGACAAACTGCCGCTGAGGAACAAACATAACACATAGGTTATGACTGACTTGAGCTACTTTCTCCTTTGCACAGTTTTCCAAGAAAGAACAAACACAGAGAAGGAAAGAGAAAAACATTTACTATAAATGCTTGAAAAAGTGCTGGCTTCAGTAAAGCACCCCTCTTTAGGCTCAAAATGTTGATTTTTGCAAGCTGGAGACCAAGCTCCTCTGACAACAGCGCTCGAGGATAGCACAATGAAAATTGAAGGGGATAGGTAGGATTACCTAAACTTACTGACAAGACATTGAAAATGAAGTACCACACACATACATGTCTTCCTAATTAAAGGCATATTCAATTTTTCCCTGGAGGCATTGTCATATCTAAGCTGAAAACTGAAGAATGAACAATGTGCTCAGCGCCCCCTCCCCCTTTGACTCAGAAAATTAATATTGACAAATATTGAGTGGTATTTCCACATACCTTCTTTGTAGGTTGTTTCTGTGGATTAAGTCTGTCCCCTAATGCCACTCTAGAAGCTACTGCCTGGCCCGTCTGACAAAAAAATATGTTCATACAGTACTAAAATAACACTGCCAAGCTTTTCTGTCTACAAAGCATAGAATCGGTGGGCAAAGAGAAAGTCAGTAAAGTCCAGTAGCCCTGGGCTAGTGGATTTTGCTATCAGGCTAATGCATTCTGTTCCTAACTTACCCAATGGGCAAATGAAGGTTTTAAGGGAATTCAAATTACAGATCATCAAAAAACCTTTTCAGGCTAGTTGAAATGACTTTTGGGCTAGTTCATGTCCGCCACAGTTACAGCTTGCCCGAATGGCACGCTGTAAAACTGACATTCTTTGCAGTCAGTAATTATTCACCTTCTCTTCATCCCTTACAGGAACATTTCCATAACTTCCTTTAGGCAGTTTTCCATTGACATTAACACGACTACGATGATTTGGCTTAATTTTTTTATCCTGGTAATGAAAATGTTCTCTCTCTGAACTTTGATGAACTGGGACGGTCTTGTGGTGACTCAATGTAGACTTCACATTTGCTATGATTCCAAATTGAGCAACTTTAGAATCAGGGGGAAACTTGATGTAGTCATACAGCAGAAGCCAATCTTCTCCTTTTGGTAGCAAAAATGCCATTTCTCTTGGCATGGGACTGATACCTTGGTCTAACAAACCCAGTTTCCGGGCTTCAGAAGCAGAGATTCCAGGCTGATAATCAATGTCGCTAGTAAACAGTCCTTTAAGAAACATATTGGCACACAAACGAATGTTCTTCATGTATGCATAATGGCGGTTCAGGTAAACAGATAAGATATATCGAAAGTCCAGCACCAGAACAGTCCATCGTGTCGCCTGTGGGGTCATACCAACAAGACCTAAGATACCCAAGAAAATAATATTATTTATTATTCTGAAAATTTACTATTCTGATTCACAGCTACATGACTTACAGATGGGTGGGAATTTGGAAAGATGGTTTGATGGCTGAGGGGTAGACAATGTTTGTTAATGAACAAAGAAATTGTTGATACAGAGTGAGACAAAATTATTTAATTCAATATTTAATTGAAGGCATCGATAATTTTGGTATCCTGTGCTCATAAAGGTAACAACAAGGAAAGACAGTGGAAGATCAAAAAAAGACATTTGTTCTCATTTATGAGTAAAGAATAATTAGGGGAGGGGAGGGGGGCTTAATACAGGATTTACAGTATTATTGGACTTACTACTTAACACTGATGCTTCGCCAACAGTAACTTCGTCAACAGATCCTGGAGGAGGGCTTGACACAAATGGAAATTGCAGCCACGTTGAAGTTGACTTGAACTCCTTGAACATGTTTGAAAAGGAAATCCTAATGGTCAGCCCCTCATCTGTTGCCACATCAATATGCACCACAAAATATTTGCCAGGAATTGGCCGAAAGAGGCAGTAGAAATACCGCCCAGTCAATCCCAGTGACTGCGTACTAGTACGAGGAAACTGAATGAAGTTGCTGGCAGGAATTGAACCAGTAATTCTGTACACTGTACCTTTTAGCTGCTTGTCCTAAATGGGGTTATTTGCAAAGAAAGAAAAATAATTATTTATTACATCCGCACACAGTTGAAGTTTGTGCTATTACGTAAAGCTGTTAAGACCTTTTTGTTTACGTCAGCATTTTAATTTATTTCCTATTTTAATGATAATTTTTTTAAAATATGTTTTCCTTTGTTATTTTTCATTGCTTATAAAGTGTTTTCACTTACGTGGCCAGCATCTATGCAAATTTATTGGAACAAAAGAAAGCATTTGCATAAGAAAAGAGTTCAACTCCCAGAGGACTGGTTTGGGACACCAACATGGCTGCCATTTCATTGTTTTGGGACCCCAATATGGCCGCCGTGACGTCATGTGAAAACGCTCTATAGCTAGTTTTTGTACATATGTAACATAGCATAATTTTTAATGTTATTATACCTGTAAAGCCTGTAAAGCGCCTTTGATCAGAATATGTAAAAATAAACTAAGTAGTGCTATATATAGAGGATATTACACGGTGGCGAGAAGATATGAATTTTATGTTCGAGTGGCAAGAACAATATCTCACGAGTGAGGGAAGCGAACGAGTGAGATATTGTTTTTGCCACTCGAACATAAAATTCATATCTTTGAGCCAACGTGTAATGTTCTTTTTATTATATGGAGAAACCAATTCAACAAAAGCAAAAGGCGGGAATCGTGACGTCATTGAACGATACGACACTCACAAAGGTGACATACGGAAAATACGCCACTCGGGTCCCGGATGNAACAAAAGCAAAAGGCGGGAATCGTGACGTCATTGAACGATACGACACTCACAAAGGTGACATACGGAAAATACGCCACTCGGGTCCCGGATGAAGTGGCATATGAAATCTACGAGTGGTTTAGTTCCCAGTAAAACACTCTCCTCCATATAATAAAAGTTATTATTATTATTTTTTATCATTATTAAGCCTTTGCAAAGGCAGTGTTGACAGCAGTGCAAATTGTTTAAACATTGTTGGACGTACTTATAGATATGGTTAGGTCATGAACCCTCAGAAATTAACTGGAGGCACGATGACTGGGAGTTCAGCATATAGGCAGACCAGCCAAAATGTTTTACAATAGTAGACCGAAAACCAAAGAAGCAGGCAGCAAAGACCTAAAATTTGGGTGGTTATCAAAATCATTAATTTTAATATTACTAAATCAAAGTGTTGATTAGGCGGCTGGAGTAATTGCCAGCTGCCCGGCCATTTTGACTGAGCTGTTTGGGACCTGCCATCTCGCAATCAGAGGTTTGAATACTGCTCGGATCACCAGCTGATTGCTTTGCATTCACTGCCAAACAGCCCACCTGACCATGACAACATATCTTTCTTTTATACCCATAGTACTACTGTATTTCTTTAGGAAAACCTTTTTATGTTTATACTCACCATAATAGTGGAGACCTCTCCTTCTTTGGAGCACTTCTTCCATTCTCCAATGTTAAAATGTTTAAAAATATTGACATTAGGATGTTGCCAAACTTCAAGAAAGAAAAAGCAAAGCTGCATGTTAAAGTGTTGCATCAGTAAATTTTATAACACTGTTACAATTTGTCACAAAAGAAATATTTCTCCTTGGGTTCAGCTCTAATGGGATTGCTTTTTTTGTCCACTGGATATTACAGTAGAGCCTTGGTAACTCAAACTCTGAGGGGAAACGAAAAACAGTTTGAGTTAGCGGGGAATTCAAGTTATTGGAGTTGTTGCTTAAAAAAGATAATAAAATGTACCAACATACACCACCTTTACAAGCACTGATAATGCATCATTCAGAGGCCTCGCCAAAGAGTCAGTCCATGAGGACCCAAAGTTATTTGCGGAGATGTACCGTAAGTGTCTTTCCCAAGGAAGGGTGCGCAAGAGTGTCTCTTAGGCCCGGTTCAGATGCCAAACTTTCCATGAGCTGAACCCAATTCAAATAGGCCACTTCCGAGTTCCAAAAACCCTCACTTTCACGGCCAAGTGCACAACCCTTTTCGTGAAAATGAGTTTTATTTGTACGAGAATGAAAAATCATTTCCATATCAAAGGCTGAGCACTTAACCTCGTTTTGATACAGTGGCCCAGGCAAACTCAGAAATGGCTTACTAAGACCAACCCCAATCATTTAGACTGGCTGAATTGATTCAGATGCCGATCTTAATTTCAGCCAAACTAAATTCAAAAGGAGGAAAATGCTCATTTTGGTCAAACTGCTTATAAAATTTGTTATAATAATTTATGCATTAGGTTTGATACATGAGCAGTTCAGCGTCTGAATCAAAGTCGTACTAAAGTTGATCAAAAGTTGAAATTCTTGGCCGAGCTAGGCAGGAACAACGGCTGAGCTGTTCCAAATTGAAAACAGGCGTTCCTAATTGACTCAGATGCCAAACTTTTCATGTACTTAATTCAGTGTATTAAGTTCCGCTCATGAAAAGTTCAGCGTCTGAACTGGACCTTAAGGTCACAAAGAACTCTCAACATGTGGGCCAGACTCAGAGAATATTACTAGTATATGTATGAGGATAACACTCTTCACTTTTGATGATTTCCCGTTTGTAAATCATACCACTATTCACAATGTCTCTGAATAACCCCATCCCCATCCATCTGTGATAATAAAGTTTTCAATGCATGGAGCAAGTGTTAGTCCCAATAAGGGGTGTCATCCAAGTACTTTAAATGCCTCAGACCGTGTTGAAGTGTCAGAATAGAGATCAAGTTTTTCATGAGAACCCCAAACCGAAGTTTGCAGTTATGCGTTTGCAGTATGTTGCCAGGATTTCAAATTTTAGCAAGGCGTTCATTGTTTAGTGCTGCCATGTCATTTTTCGTCAAGTCAAGGTGCCTCACTTTGTCGCCGAAAAACATGAATACCTTATTGATTCAAGTTCAAAAATCTAGCTAGCACATTGCAGGCAGATATAAAAAACTACTCTGTGTCTTTAAACGTGAGGCAGTAGAATTTTTAGTAGCAAAAAACTTTGCCGTGAGTCACTTTGCACTTACAGCAGGAAGCCCTTCCTGCCATTCAAACCTGATACGTGACCGCAAGACCGTGGTCACATGACTTTCTGAGTTTTGCAGTTTGCATTTTCCCATGAAATACCTGACGCTAAAGGTCTCCAATGTCCCTGCCCTATACCTTACAGGTAAAAATCGCCAAGCCATGGGGGGAGGGAGTTGAGGGGAGCAGATCACTTCCGGACGTGTGAGGAGGAGACCAGGTAGTATTTGACAAATTTTTGTTTTAAACCTTTGAGAATAATCTGGCTCGTTTGTAGTTATTTGCCTTTTAACGATACTGTTAAAAATACATAGAACCTAATGATTTTTAGACGAAAGTGCGCCTCTTGCCCAGCTGGTTAATTGGCAACAAATACTTATACATGTACTTACACTTCGACATGGTCTTCTCTCTATTTCATTTTTCTTCTTTATTACTAAATTACAGTTTTCAAAACCACCTCCAAAACAAATCTGCTCCTGTTGGTTCGCGCCATGTTTTCGAAGAAAACAAACTGAGCATGATCTCTGCTTCAGTCCGCGGACGAACACTTGCGAAGTCGCGGGCTCGCGTAGATACCCGCAAACAAAGATGGCGTCCAACAGACAACCAGTTGCTAAAGGAGGGTTATGGTCGACTCATTCGGCCCCTGTTGGTAAAGAAACGCAAAATCTACTCAAAGGTAACAAACAACTAACAAGAGATTACCCTTGAAGCAATTCAGGCTCGTAATGTCATTCATACATGCAGATATTTTAATGTTTGACAGTTATGATGGACGAATCCAAGTTGACTAATTTTCAACGGAGACAGTTACAGGAAAACATGAAAAGTAAGTCTCATCTCCCCGATGATATTGTCATTTATGTTTTATATGCATTATAATCTAGAATCTAAAAGCTATATTTGATGTCAAAAAACCCTTTTACTTGGTCAGTGTAATTATGTAAGCTTACTCAAGTAGAAAGTAAACTTAATATTACCGGTAAATTATGAGCTTTTATAACTTATTACAATCATTATAATTAATTCAAGTTCTCACAAGGCCAAGAGCTCGGACCTCATTCTTTTTGGGGCTCGTTTCCACCTTTTGGATTTCATCTCGGTCCATAACTTCAGATTAAATCGCAGAAAAGAACTTGCTTTATCATTGGGCTTAATTTTAATACAATATCTTATCAGGTGAAAAGGTTACAGAGCAAAAAATATTAAAGTAAAATGGTTTGGTATTTCATAGGTCTTGAAAATATTTCAGAAGTGAGCACAGAAGATGAGGAAGTGATATAATTATTCTTCGTTACTCAAGGAGGAATTTTGTACAGTGTATCTTCATGCACCCGTGTAATAACCACTATTAAATATATATATAAATAAATATTATGTTTAAGTCAACTCTCTTAACCGCTTAAGTCCCATTATTATTCATTCAAAATATTTTCCCGATTCTGATTTGCTAAAAGCACACGTTTAATTCACCATAACCAGTTACTGATGACCACATTTGGAAGAATTTTGTGTTTAACGAGGAAAGGACATAAAAAATGCAGCATTTTCGCAGGTTAAGGCACCGTTAACCGAAAAGACCTGGGGACGAGGTTGAGTTGTTTTGCTTGTGAACTTGAAAAATGGCGGACATTTCACTTGTTTCAAGAGTGAGAACTAGGCGAAAAAAATAGCTAAAAATATGGCAGGAACAGCAAGAAGACAACTCGAAGGGCGACATCTGCTATTTGGAGAATATTAATTTGCAGAGCTGCACAAACCTAAGCGTGCACTATCGAAGATGAACTTAATATTGATGGATCGATGGAGGTAAGCATGTTTTAGCCATGTTTTTAAACTAGGAATTATTTTGAATGAATAATAAAACAATTATTGAATTCGGCTTTCGTATCACATGAAGAATTATGGAGATTTCGAAGGGTGTTATCCACCTTGGCCTACAGCCTCGACGGATTAACACCCTCCTCGATCTCCATAATTCTTCACAAGATACTCAGCCTCATTCATTAATTGTTAAATAGTGACCAAGATCAATTTTCTCCTAACAATATCCATACACTGTCAAGAGATAAGTCATGGGAATTGAAAAAAGACGGGGCAAAGGATCCAAATATGAATTTTAATATATTTTAAAAAGATTTATAGAGAAGTGGGATAAAGTTTTTTAAATGTGACATTTCCTTGTTAACTCTGCTGTTCAAATTTCAGGAGGTGAATCTCTTCCAGTGTCATGTAATCCTACCTCAAGTAGAAGTGAGAGAACTCAACAGAATAGTGCACCTAAGAAGCCCTTACCCAAGGTCATGAATGCAAGGCACCTCTCTGGTGGAAAGCGATCAAAAGATACAATTGATATGCACAGGAGCAGTGTTCCACAGGAGATTTACAGACCTTCTCCAGGCAGTATGTTCATCTTAGCTATCACTTATAGGCCTTTTGCATTAGTTGGTCACATGATCAACTTTCTGTTAACACAAAAACAGTTAGCTTTAGAAAAACGATTTTAGCAGGAACTGAGAGAGCATATTAAAACTAGGTAGCCTATAAATTTTCAGCTATATATCTCAAAAGTAGAAATGAAAGAAATAGCGGAAATCTGAAACTATTAACCTTTGTACAGTTGTACGGTTTTTAGGGGTAATTATTAAAGCTACAACTGCTAAGAATGATAACAGTGTACAAATGGCTTACTGAATTAATTTATGCCAGAGGTAGATAAGACATCAGAATGAATCGGGGAAAACAGTTTGTAAAGACATGGCCAGAGAAAAAGATCAACTATCTGCTCAGTTTATGTAATGAAAAAACACTAGAATAGTCCCCCCCCCCCTCTTCTCCTACCATCAAACATCCTGTTGACAGCATGGGACAGACATTGTGCAGTTCTTTTCTTCTTTGCAAAAACATTCTGTTAGATGTACCTCAAACACCTCATTAAAAAGGTCTTTTTTACTTCCCATTTCCTGGAGCAAGAGGGGATGGGAAAAAGAGAGACTTTGGAAACATAGTTAATGCGTTACATTGGACTGTGTTTTCAGAAAAGCCAGGCAAGATAAAGCAAATCCTGTGTTATGAATGGCTACCTGAGTGGGCAAGATAAACCCACTTGGAATTTCCCACATTGTTCCTGCAAGAAAAAGTTCGTTTTTGGCCATGTAATAAAACCTTTGGTCAAAATGGCTGAATGTTGGCCTCTCTTATTTTTTTGCACTTTTTACTGACCTTGAAAAATGCAAAAATACTTTGACCAATAGTTCAGTCATCTTGACCTCAAACTTAAAATGTTATTTGCCTACCTGTTTGGTCTTTACAGCAAGTGTGGAAGCAGAATGTTGAAAAGTGAAATGTCTGATGTTGACTAATGTATATGTTCCCTTACAGAGTCTATTTCAGAGCAAGATAAAAGGAGGCTTCAAAATGTTATGGCCTATGGAGAGGATGGAAAAAATATTGAGGATATACCAAAGCAAAGACGACCTTCTCCCACAGTGAGGGCACAAGAAAAAGAAATTGATCGGTTTGATGAAGGTAAATATGACTCTGCCCGCTTTGTTTAATTTCCTATACAGTCTCATTTTGTGTCAAACATTTCATTATTAATTAAGGTAAAGTTTGTACATAAACATTAATTTTATTGTTAATTGTTTCCACTTAATAAACATGCTGTGCTTGATTAGTCTGTCCAGCAGGCTTTATTTCACTGTGTGGCCTTCTTGTTCAATAATTTGTTTTGTCACTAAAGAAAAATTGTAAAGCTCTTATTTCATGAAGTGGACTATTAATATGCTTTTTAAACTGCACTGAAAGTAGTTTTGTCAAATGAGATTTCAAGTTGCTGGGTAAACACAACAAGCACATGTAGATGGGGAATCAAACAGATAGGGATTTCTTTTTTTTTTCTTCTATTTTTTTGAAAGAAGCTGGGGGTCATCTTCATTGTAGCCTTGGGATATCCCCAGCCCCCTACCCCCAGCCCTTAATGAGAGCCCTGATTTTTTTTTATTTAGATTTGTATTCCCTTAGTTTGTATCATCCTCATTCTCTGTTTCATTCCTTTTGCTTGTTAAGGTGAACTCTACAAATTTGCCCACTCCCATTCAATGAAAGGGTCTTCATAGTTCATTTGGCAGGGAAGTGTAGCTATGTGAGGCCGTGGTTTTAAATCCTGTTGAAGCCCTTAAATTTATTTTTGGGCTCATTTTTACTGCTATTAAAACTGCGATGGTCGTATCTTATCTTGGATAGATTTTTCATTCCAGCAGTTCACTTCTGTGATCTTCATTCTATTGTGCATTGTATGCTGTGTTAAACAAATTTTTGATCATTTCACATGTTTAGGATTTGACGTGCATCAATCAGCCTGGCTGTTTTGCTTAAATTGAAGTCTTCTCCACTCTTCTTAATCCACAAGATTTTATTTATAAAAATAAAAATTGAACCAAAAATAATATTTATTCTTTTTGTTTTGTCATGCAGTTCTTCAAGAAATAGAGGATAGGAGAGGCTTTCTAGATGAAATGGAAAAGCTTGGGGAAGGCAAAAAATACAGAACTATTATAACGACAGAGATATCACAGGTAATCTGATACCATGACGTCACTACTTGTAAATAGTCTTATAATAAAAGGGATAATGTAAGGTACCATTCAGTGGCGGATCTAGGGGAGGGTACCCTGTGCCCCCGCTTATTTTTAGACCAAACTTAGGCCCAAAGGGCCAAAAAAATTTTTGGGGGGGGGGACCGGACCTCCCTTATCTAAGGTTCTGGATGACCACCCCCCCATCTCAAGGTCTGGATTTGGCACTGCCGTTGGTTTACATACAAAGAGTGGTCTTGGAAATTAAAGGCGGTAATAAATATTATAGCTTAATAAGGGTCTGGTCAAGTAGGTATGGAGACTTCAACATGTGCAACCCTAGTTTGGGTCTTACATTATACATATTATGGAAACACAGTGAATAATAATTGCAAAAACCATATGAAAGAATACTTGGAATAATGCTGCAAGTGTCTTGTGATAAACTGCTAGTTTTTCCTTCTAATTTGCAAGTCTTAGCGAAAAAAAAAGCAGACATAAGGGAAGGTTCCTCCTCACTTCCTTGTTTGGCATGCATGGGCTTGCTGCTGGGTTCCAAAGAATACTTGGGGGTTATGTTGTTATGAACCCTTTCCAGGGCCATCGAGAAGGGCTGCTCAGGGTGAGTGATAAAATGCTCATTTAAACTAGCCTCTTCAGCTAATGACTTGGTTGTCATGGAGGTTCATCGAGGTGGCTTCGTTCGCTTCGCTCTCCTCAGACCTCTCGTCTTTGCATCCCTTTGCTATTCATTATCCCAAAAGCATAGAACAGGACTATTCTCTGCCTAATGGTTGAATCCAGCATTGCCATCTCTGCTTCTCTTATAAACCCACGTATAAGAATCTAGAATTTTGAGGTCAGGCTGAACAGGTTCTTATATTTTAGGGTAGTTTTTCACAATTCAGGCTGATTAGGTTCTTATTAGGTTTTCAGAGGTTGTTGTAGTGTAGCCATTGGCAGAAATATTGTACTACTAATACATAATACTTGTTGGAAAACATATACACTATAACTTTTTGTTAGAAGTTTCTCACACAATTAAAATCCAGAATTTTGACCATCAAAATTGGAGCGATTTTTNAATTTTTGGGGGGGGGGACCGGACCTCCCTTATCTAAGGTTCTGGATGACCACCCCCCCATCTCAAGGTCTGGATTTGGCACTGCCGTTGGTTTACATACAAAGAGTGGTCTTGGAAATTAAAGGCGGTAATAAATATTATAGCTTAATAAGGGTCTGGTCAAGTAGGTATGGAGACTTCAACATGTGCAACCCTAGTTTGGGTCTTACATTATACATATTATGGAAACACAGTGAATAATAATTGCAAAAACCATATGAAAGAATACTTGGAATAATGCTGCAAGTGTCTTGTGATAAACTGCTAGTTTTTCCTTCTAATTTGCAAGTCTTAGCGAAAAAAAAAGCAGACATAAGGGAAGGTTCCTCCTCACTTCCTTGTTTGGCATGCATGGGCTTGCTGCTGGGTTCCAAAGAATACTTGGGGGTTATGTTGTTATGAACCCTTTCCAGGGCCATCGAGAAGGGCTGCTCAGGGTGAGTGATAAAATGCTCATTTAAACTAGCCTCTTCAGCTAATGACTTGGTTGTCATGGAGGTTCATCGAGGTGGCTTCGTTCGCTTCGCTCTCCTCAGACCTCTCGTCTTTGCATCCCTTTGCTATTCATTATCCCAAAAGCATAGAACAGGACTATTCTCTGCCTAATGGTTGAATCCAGCATTGCCATCTCTGCTTCTCTTATAAACCCACGTATAAGAATCTAGAATTTTGAGGTCAGGCTGAACAGGTTCTTATATTTTAGGGTAGTTTTTCACAATTCAGGCTGATTAGGTTCTTATTAGGTTTTCAGAGGTTGTTGTAGTGTAGCCATTGGCAGAAATATTGTACTACTAATACATAATACTTGTTGGAAAACATATACACTATAACTTTTTGTTAGAAGTTTCTCACACAATTAAAATCCAGAATTTTGACCATCAAAATTGGAGCGATTTTTTTTTGTAAGAACCTATTTTTCTTTACCAGGCTGAACAGGTTCTTATATTTTTGGGTATTTAAAAGCCAAATTTCAGACTGTAGGTTCTTAAATCACTAGGTTCTTACATGCAGGTTTTTACTGTAGCTTTAAGGTGCCAACGTTGTTTCTGACTAACTGCCCAGCAGTTGCCTGCTTTAATCCTTGATTGGTACACCACTGATTGAGATCAAAACTTCCGTCCACATGTACTGGTGCTTATTGATATCTACAATGTATGATCTTGCCATGTTAAATTTTTTATTATTGTACTTTCAGTTGGGGAGTAGTAATGGGCAAGAGAACATCATGCCCCTTAATTAATTGGCCTAGGTTTATGACTCAGTAGAAGTAATGATTGTAAGTGTTGTTCTTCTTTCCACAGAAAATACGAGAACTTGAGCTTATTGATAAAGAAAGAAGCAAAGAACTCAATCTTGCTGAACAAAACGAGTGATGAACCTCATGGAATAAAGGATTGATTTGGTTTAGAACAAAGCAAAATTTCTTATGATGTGCTACACATGGGATACAGAAGAGGCAGTGTCTTGTAAGATATATTCCTTTTGTTGGCTCTTCAAATTGAACCATTTTCATAAAGATGGCTGCTAAGAGATACAAGACATATTACTTGACAGTTTAACTCTTGTGCAGTGTGCAAAACAGAAACAACGGAAATGATGCACAAAGCAAGTTATTGATAACCTACAAACAGAATCCATTGGCAATCTTCAGAGCTGTCTCATCTGCAAACAAGTGACATGAGCAAAATGGCTGCCAGCATGACCTGTAAAACTTTTTGTTTGACTGCTTGAATATGTCAACTGAAATGCTTGCAGGCAAGTGATGTTAAGGTAACTTGATGACATAAAAAGAAGACTTCAGGTAGAAGTTCTATGGGGTGATCGGCTCTAATGTCAAACAGTAAAAGGTAAAACAAACGGTCTCA